GTCAAGGAGGCAGATCAGGGGCAGAGCCAGCATAAGTCAAACAAAGCCCTGGCCAATCAGCATCTCCATATTGAGATGCATTGAATCAATGCATCTGTATGAGGAAAGTTCATTGTCTACATGCAGAGGGTGGACACACTGAATGGCTGTGCAGCACTAACCCAGAAGCACCTCTAGTAACTATCTGAAGTGGAGGTATCCCTATGCTGTAATGTAAACACTGCCTTTTCTTCGAAAAAAACAGTGCTTACTGCAGTAAGCCTGCGGGCACTGATTACACTCACCAGAACAAATGCAGTAAGCTGTAGTTGTTCTGGTGACAAGTGTCCCTTTAAATGAAAAAAGGTTAAAGGGACACTATAGTCACCAGAACAACTACAGTTTAATGTAGTTGTTCTGGTGAGTATAGCCACTCCCTGCAGACCTTTTTAATGTAAAAACTATCTTTTCAGAGAAAAGGCAGTGTTTACGTTACAGCCTAGGAACACCCCCAGTGGCCATTCCTCAGAAGGCCACTTGAGGTGCATCCTGTGGCAGTGCTGCACAGTGAAAAGTACTGACATTCAGCAATGTTGAATTTTCCTCAAAGAGATGTATTGACTCAATGCATCTCTATGAGGGAATACTGATTGGCCAGGGTGGTGTTTGGCTCCGCCCCCAGCCCGCTGTTTTGACTGAGCTCATCAGAATTGATGATCTCAGGCAATCCAATGCTTTTCCTATGGGAAGGCACTTTGGTTGAGATCATTAATTCTGATAATGTTAGCCAAGGAGGCAAATCGGGGGCGGAGCCAGAACCATTGGTCCTGTGCGGCAGTGGAAATAAGGTGGGTTTTCTCCTTATTTAAGGGGTGTCTAGCATGTTTTTAACACTATATGGCCTTGTGTGTGTTATAGTGTTTCTTAACTTCAATTTATAGGTAATTTTCAATGTTATTCAGTTGTGTAATTCCCAAAGAAGTGACCGTTTCTGCTTTAACATGACTCTTGCAGTGTCCATTTGATAACACACCACAGTTGATATTGTCTCGCCTAATATTGTCTGTGGAATCTATTCACTAAATAACAGGTTGTACTTACTTGGTGAACATTCTCCAATTTAAAGGAACACTGCGGTCATCACAACAACTTAATCTCAATCAGAGGGCTTATAATGCCAGGTACTCTCTTAACTTAAAGGTCCAAACCGTTCTCTAATGGTTTAAAGGACCACTATAGTCACCCAGACCAATTCAGCTCAATGAAGTGGTCTGGGTGCTAGTTCCCCCAGATTTTAACACTGCAGCTGTAAACATAGAAGTTTCAGAGAAACTGCTATGTTTACATTGCAGGGTTAATCCAGCCTTTAGTGGCTGTCTTCCCGACAGACGCTAGAGGCACTTCTGCGATGCTCAATGCGAGAATCGCATTGAGCACACAGAACGTCCATAGGAAAGCATTAAAAGATGCTTTCCTATTGGCGTTTTTAATGCGCACGCGGCCTTGGCCATGCATGCGCATTCGGCTCCACTCGGGGGCTGACGTCAGAGGGAGAGGAAAGGTCACCAGTGCCAAGGGAGCCCGGCGCTGGATAAAGTTAAGTGGCTGTAGGGATTTTAACCCCTTCAGCTCAGCGGGAGGGGACCCTAAGGATTATATAGTGTCAGGAAAAAGAGTTTGTTTTCCTGACACTATAGTGATCCATTAACCCCAAAGGTTGCCTCCAGCGCCAATCTCCTTGTCCTCCAGGCATCTTTCGGCTTCTGAATCTGAGTTACTGGAAGCGCAGAGTGCCGCCGGGCAGGGCCGCCAGTGATTGACCAGAGCAGTAAGTCAATCAGTAGCTACCCATTTATAAAATAGGTACTTCCCTACAAATGCCTCTCTGAAACACACCTAGTAAAAAAAATATTGTACAGAAACTCCCGGAGTATGGCTGAAAATGTTTTAATTCTTTATGCTTCCGGAGATTTTAATGTTCTAGGCTGGGATTAACTTGATGAGAACTTTAAAGGGACAATATACGCTCCCAGACCACTTCACCTCATTGAAGTGGTCCAGGTGCAGTGTCCCTGTACCTTTTAGCTCTGCAATGTAAAATATAGCAGTTTCAGAGAAAGACTGCCTCTAGCCATGCTTACTTGCATGGAGGATGCCAGGGAAGTACGGTTATACTCTTATGCATCCCTTCTCTCCCCCCCTATTGCTGCATTTACTTTCATAGAAACAATAAGTGGCAACAAATTTCTGTTTGCCACTTTGTTTCTCTTTGCATTAATCCATAGACCACGTTAACTATTATCGTTTTCTACCGCTAGTAATTCTTACAGCGATACTTGGCAGCCGTACGTCTTGCTACATTTATAAAGTGCTATATGTATCTCTGTACTAACCCACAGAGTACATCAATCACGGGCCTTTATGGTTCAATGCGACTATTATTATTATTATTATTATTATTACGCCATCAGATTCCATAGCGCTGTACAATGGGTGGACTAACAGACATTACAGTCTCTTAAAATAAGTCACAGCTGTGACAATAGCTAGTTTCTTTCTCCTATATTGCTTTCAGTTTTATTTTCAAATCATTATATATTTTTCATATTTTAAACCATACAATAAAAGTTATATTTTATACCTTTCTCATTCATAGATATTACACACCATGTAGGTAGAAATGCACAGTCTTTTTTTTATTTGTTTGTATATTGTTATTTACTCTTATGTATGATCAAGAATTTAAAACTGGGTCTATAGAAGATCCTTCAAGACCGCTGTATCTTCTACAGATAGACGCGCACTTTTGCAATAAGGTGCCATATGCATCTATTGCACATCATGGAAAATGATATCTGTTCCCATCAACCGGTCATGAAATTGTGGATGAATCTAGACCAACTGCCAAGATCCGCTAATATACTTCAGGCAAATTAGTCCTCACTTTGCCTCATGTATTTAATTTGATTGTGTTGGAATTTCAAATAAGTTTCAACAAACTCTCATAGATTTTTTTCATAAATCTTTATGAAAAGCTGAATATTAGAAACATAGAATGTGACGACAGATAAGTACCATGCGGCCCATCAAGTCTGCCCAATTTTCTAAATACTTTAATTAGTCCCTTATCTTATAGTTAGGATAGCCTTATGCCTATCCCACGCATGCTTAAACTCCTTTATTGTGTTAACCTCTACCACTTCAGCTGGAAGGCTATGCCATGCATAAAGAAAGACGCTTGGGCTCGTCTGGGATTTGAACCCGGGAACTATCGTACCCTAAGCGAGAATCATACCCCTAGACCAACGAGCCATTCCAAATATTGACAGAGCCAGTTAAATAAAATGTGCTCTAGAAATCTAAAGCATGTAAATGAAGTGCTAGAAAGTCTTGCATTTTGTAAATCTAGGAAATCTAATTTTTAGTAACAAGTATGTTTAAGTTCTAGATAACCTTTTAAAATTTACAAAAGATTTTAAAGATGCTTTTGTTGGTCTTTTCCTGTGGTAATTAAAACTAAGTCGCAGAAAATATTCAAGATGATTGATTTATGTTTTTTTCCCCCAGCAATAGAAATGATGCTTAACTAGACAATTTACCAGGTATTATCTGAAATAGCATTTCTGTCAAGGAAAAAGTGTCCTTATCAGGAAAGATAACAGTTGTATGGTTAGCTATGTTTCCAGTTTAAAGTTAACTCCAAATTTAAATCAGAACAGCTAAATTCCTCACAATTCTCACCCTGTCTGCTTCACGTTACTGAAATAGTATTTGCAAAATGGAAAACCTATGTATGCATAGATTAAATCTAATTTATTTAATTTTACGTTCAATGTTTTTAATGTTAAATTATTTGTATAGAGGTGACAACTGCAAATTTTGTTGCCAGTTAAGGCAAGGAATTTTGTAGGACTTATTAGCTGCATCCATTTTAAGAGGGAGGTAGCTGTGTCAGTTTTAAGGCACTCATTTTAAAAATGGAGGAAAAAAAAAATTGTTTACACACATATATAGAGTATCTCACAAAACTGAGTACACCCCTCACATTTTTGTAAACATTCTATTATATTTTTTCATGTGACAACACTGACGAAAAGAGACTCTGCTACAATGTAAAGTTGTAAGTGTACAGCTTGAATAACACTGTAAATTTGCTGTCCCCTCAAAATAACTCCACACACAGCCATTTAATGTCAAAATTGGGCCCAAAGTGTCAATATTTTGTGTGACCACCATTATTTTCCAGCATTGCCTTAACCCTCATGTGCATGGAGTTCACCAGAGCTTCACAGGTTGCCACTGGAGTACTCTTCCACTCCTCCATGACGACATCACGGAGCTGGTGGATGTTAGAGACCTTGCGCTTCCCCACCTTCTTTTTGAGGATGCCCCACAGATTCTCAATATGGTTTAGTTCTGGAAACATGCTTGGCCAGTCCATCACCTTTACCTTCAGCTTCTTTAGCAAGGCAGTGGTCGTCTTGGAGGTGTGTTTGGGGTCATCATGTTGGAATACTGCCTTACGGCCCAGTCTCTGAAGGGAAAGGGATCATGCTCTGCTTCAGTATGTCACAGTACATAAAAAAAAAATAAAAAAAAAAATAGATAAATACACTAAAATGATGATACATTAAAAAGACTGACTCTTACAGGAAAGAGTGATGAGTTAGGCACGGCATACGCCGCTACTCACTGCCCGGCTTATTCAAATATGATAGCGGAAGTTTGACTTCAGATGCTGAATCTCAGCGTGATTTCCTGAGGCCACTGCAGCATCACGTCCTGATGAAGCCAGGAAAACCGGCGAGACGCGTAGATGTCACTAAGGGGGCGGAGCATGCAGCAGCTCGGGGAATCACGCTGAGATTCAGCATCTTAAACTAAACTTTCGCTTTTACAGCATCCACCGAAGCCAGAGTCTCCTGTTATCATATTTGAATAAGCCGGGTAGTGAGTAGTGATGTCGCGAACCGTTCGCGAACTTGCTGCGAACTCCAGTCAGCTGACACATCCCTGCCAATCTCCGGCAGACCCTCCCTCCCAGACCCTCCTACTTCCTGGACAGCATCCATGCTGAAACATGGATGCTGTCCAGGAAGTAGGAGGGTCTGGGAGGGAGGGTCTGCCGGAGATTGGCAGGGATGTGTCAGCTGACCGGAGTTCGCCACGAACCGTTCGCGGCAAGTTCGCGAACGGTTCGCGACATCACTAGTAGTGAGTAGCGGCGTATGCCGTGCCTAACTCACCACTCTTTCCTGTAAGAGCCAGTCTTTTTAGTGTATAACGTGTTTTTAACCCTAGAAAACCTTCTTTGTCATTGTAATACATTTTTGCACTTTGAAGCTAATTGAGCATATTCACTTTATCATTGTATTTCCTTAACCCTATATTTGGGTATATTTGTGGGAACACTATTAATATTGTATTTGTTTGCAATTTACACCATTATGTGTATTGTGCATTTCTCTTTATATGTGCTGAGAAATTACCTGCTGGAGGCTATCTACTGAATACTAAGTATTACCTCTACTTGCCTCATTTTCTCTCACAATTTGCATATATTATTGGCTTATCACCTAAACAGCCACTTCTTTTGACATACTGCTCCACTCTTATTTTTCATTTTTCTTTGCTTATATTATATGTGTTTGAGGGTGTCACATTTAGAGTGTGTCAGCAGTGATATATAAAAAATCATACCAACTCTAAGCAGCATATTAAATTTTCTCCTTTTTTAAAGGGTGCTCCAAAAAAATCTATTTCACAAGTCACAGTACATGTTGGCATTCATGGTTCCCTCCATGAACTGTAGCTCCTCAATGCCGGCAGCACTCATGCAGGCCCAGACCATGACACTCATACCACCATACTTGACTGTAGGCAAGACACACTTGCCGCCCCACACGCTTGACTCCATTTGAACCAAATAAGTTTATCTTGGTCTCATCGGACCACAGGACATGGTTCCAGTAATCCTTGTCCTTAGTCTGCTTGTTTTCAGCAAACTGTTTGCAGGCTTTCTTGTGCATCATCTTTAGAAGAGGCTTCCTTTTGGGACAACAGCCATGCTGACCAATTTGATGCAGTGTGCGGCGTATGGTCTGAACACTGACAAGCCGACCCCCCACCACTTCAACTTCTGCAGCAATACTGGCAGCACTCATACATCTATTTCCCAAAGACAACCTCTGGATATGATGCTCAGCACGTGCACTGAACTTCTTTGGTCGACAATGGCGAGGTCTGTTTTGAGTGGAACCTGTCCTCTGAAACCGCTGTATGGTCTTGCCCACCATGCTGCAGCTCAGTTTCAGGGTCTTGGCGATCGTTTTATAGCCTAGGCCATATTTATGTAGAGCAACAATTCTTTTTTTCAGATCCTCAGAGAGTTCTTTGCCATGTTGAACTTCCACTGACCATGAGAGAGTGTGAGAGCGATTACACCAAATTTAACACACCTGCTCCCCATTCACACCAGAGACCTTGTAACACGAACAAGTCACATGACACCGGGGAGGGAAAATGGCTAATTGGGCCTAATTTGGACATTTCCACTTAGGGGTGTACTCACTTTTGTTGCCAACGGTCTAGGCATTAATGGCTGTGTGTTGAGTTATTTTGAGGGGACAGCAAATGTACACTGTTATACAGGCTGCACACTTACAACTTTACATTGTAGCAGAGTGTCTTTTCTTCAGTGTTGTCACATGAAAATATGATATATTTACAAAAATGTGAGGGGTGTAATCACTTTTGTGAGATACTGTATTTGTGTGTGTGTAAACTTTTTTTTTTTTTTTAAATATGGAGAGCAAAAAAAACGGGGCGCAAGAGAATACTGAGAACGGGCAACAGCTGAAGTAGCCTGCCCTTCGGTGAGTCCTTGCTCAGTTCTCAAGCTGGTTTTAGCTCATCTTGTGCCATTACAAAGAGAACATCTCTGAAACATATCAGACTGGTCCCACCCAGTTATATATTTTTTAAATCTATTTTCCTCAATTTTTAAAATGAGTGCCTTAAAATTGACACAGCTACCACCTTCTTAAAATGGATGCAGCTAATAAGTCCTATGTGAGGGTGTGTACTCACATTTGTGTGTGTGTGTGTGTGTGTACACACACACACACACACACACACACACACACACACACACACACACACCCACCACACACACACACACACACACACACACACACACACACACACACACACACACACACACACACACACACACACACACACACACACACACACACACACACACACACACACACACACACACACACACACACACACACACACGTGTCCTTGTGGTTGAACAGAAATATTAGCCTATCGATCTGTGAACCTGTCTTTTATTGGAATAAAGACTTGTAAAATAATTCCTCAACAAGACCAATGAGTGTTGTCTATCTGTGGAAATAAATAAATATTACATTTCTAAATATATATGTGTAATATACATTCAATAAAAATTTAAGAAAATTGTAGAGTGACCATTTCAAACCTTACCCCCCCCCTTTGCCTCCCAAATAACAAAACAAAATAAATCGAAAATGGTTAATACCCCCATTTTTGATTGTAAGGCCCTATAAAAATTATTGTAACTGTTCCAGTGCCAAGATCCATTTCTCATTCAGCCTGATCCTTCTCTACAGAAGTAACTACTACTTGTATAGTGACCCTTGCAAAAGATGTCAGGGAGGGCATGCTGAGGGGTCGACATGGGAGGCACAGAGGGGGTGGTTGCATGCTGTTTGCTGATGACAGCTATTTCTCCACCAGAGGGAAATGTGTTATGGCTTTTATTAGTTAGTAGCAGCTGTAAATAGAATCAAACTTAACCACCTGGCCATGTGATACCAGTATTCTCCTGGAATGCCTTATCTGTGTGCATTGTTTTGCCTGTTCCTCTGTGTTCATGTTCATGAGCCATGCACAAGATTTGTGAGACTTTTTTCATGTGCATTAATTGTCTGTTTGTGACAACACTGTATGTGAGTCTATCTCTTCCTTTGTAGTTTCTCATTAGATTTAAAGGAACACTATAATGACCGGTATACAAACATGTATTCCTATCGCAATAGCTGTGAAAACACTGTTTATGGTCCTTCCCCCCTGTAATCA